TTCATAACCTACACCAGGAGCACGGCCAGATCTGCAGCATCCTTAAAGCACAAGCAAAGGTTGTAGAAAGCTAAAAATCCCCGAGGCTTCCATTGAGCTCTGTCAGACACTCCAGAGCTGGAGCCCGCAGAAACCACCAGCAGTTTTAGGTTCTAAGCCCAAGACAGCGGTAGAGTTCTTTACGCCCCTCTGTCAACCGGCAGAAGTCAGTTAATGTTTAACTCCCACGAGAAAGGAATAAAAATCCAGCGTTTTCTCGACAGTTCTTTTGCAAGCTGCTGCTTCAGTAGTACCTGATCTCGAAGATGAAACAGTACAGACCACCTAGCAAAGATGCACACAGAGAAAACGCGCCTCAAACACAGCCACGACACAGACTGCTGCTTCTCCGGCCTGAATTTATGCCGTGCTTTTCGAAGGCGTAGTATGGATGTGAGAATGGATGCGTGTGGAATGAATGAGTTCAAAGAGATACCGCTAACACCGGGACAGGAATTAAGGCCTGTATCAGATCTGCATCAGATTTCAGCCCTGCACTGAGGGATTTGTCACTGCTCAAGTCTTAATCCTTCCTCCTCAGGAAGCACCAGCTGCAGGAAGGGAAGGAGCACTCCCTGCGCTCTAGGACTTTGTCTCTTGGCAAAAAAATCCTGGCTTTTCATTTGCCCACAAGCACTCTAGCCTCCCGTTCGCCTGGCTGGAGAGACTCCATTTGCTGCGCCCACCAGGCCCGCAGCCACGAACCACGGGCGGGCACCTTTTTTATTTATTTATTTATTTATTTTTCTTTATTTCAGTTGCAGCTCTTCTGCAAGGGGCCTGGAGCTCTCGCTCGTGGGAAGAGAGCGCAGCTCTGGTCGCTCCCAAAGGGGATGCGCCAGCCCGCTAGAATAGGCGAGAGGGGAAAAAGAAGAGAGCAGCAATGAAAGCCTCCCCCGCTGGAGCTTGTTTCCGAATCCAAGGAACAAAAACTACAGCAGCGGAGAAAAATAAAGCGTCTGCCCCCTACCATCCGCTGCCGACAGCCCTGCTCGCGGGAAAAGCCACCCTCGGGAGCAGCAGCTGCCCCCCCCGGACTGTCGCAGGAGTCCAAGAGCTGCACTCCCCGGCAAGACTTCCCTAATATCAGCTCCGAACGCAAACACAGACAGGAGAGCGGCTCCAGCACCCAGCGTTAAAAAAGGCACTGCCGGCGCTGAACCTCGGCAGCTCGCTCAGCCGTACAACCGCGACAGCCAAAGGAATTGCATT